GCGCCAAGCCCTCCTCTGCCTGCGCCTGCTCACACAGAGCCACACAGAGAGGGGCCCGGAGATGGGCTCCACGTGGGCTGTGTTGGCTGCAACCGCATTCTGGTCTCAGGTCCCAGGTCATCTCACCTGAGCTTTACCTTAGAGGCCAGGTGACTGGGGCTCCGGGGGACAGTCCCCCGGCGGTGGACTAGGAGAGACAGAGCCTCGGGGGACAGGGGGGACCAGGGCAGGTGGGCGAGCACTTGGGCTTCTGGGAAAGCCAGACCCAGCCCCAGATGGAGGAACGTACCGGTGGCCCCTGGGTGCCTGGCGGTCCGGCAGCTCCCGTGACTCCAGCGGCTCCCTAGGGACAACCAAGCGGGAGGTGAGTGTGTGCGCCTGGCCGCCTGACCGCGGTCAGGAACAGAGCTCTGAGCACGAAGCAACGCGCGGATCTCACTCCCCGGGCCCTGCCCAGTGGCCTGAACTGAAGCATTTCCCAGCAGCCTCTGCCTTCCCCACGGCTGGGCTCATCTCTGGGACACAAAGACGGTGGGGAGACAGCATCTGCAGTGAGAATGGGGTGTGTTCGGGGGACAGGGTTGACAGAGGAGGGGACCGAAGACGGGTACTTACCGGTGGCCCAGGGTTCCCCGGGGGCCCCATGAGACCTGGAACTCCGGGGCGGCCCTGGGAAAGAGAGAAAAAAAGGCATGGAAGTGAGTGAGGGGACAGATGGGAACGAGAGCGGCCACGACAGCTGAGAACACGTGGCTGCCTGACGCGCAAGGGTCCGTCCTGACGTGCTCTCGTCTGTGTGCGCGAGTGCAGTGCCCAGAGCAACAGCTGAAAACCAGCAAACGCACAGACACAATACAAGCTGCAGCGGGTTACAGGGATACTGTGCCCACATTACGACAATCATACAGTTCTTCTAGGAAAAAGATCCATGTCTCCACTCGGAGAGGAGTCCATGCGAATTACAGTAAGAACTAAACAAGTGTAAAGTGTGTGGGGGGGGGGGGGGAGTGGGAGGTATCTGTAATACCATCAACAATAAAAAACAAATTAAAAACATTTCACACAACCATGTTATAAAGCCAAGCAACCACCATAAATAAATGACTTCTTGCCCTGCACCTCCCCTCCTGCCACCTGAAACACCAGCTGCAACGTTCACCATGGATTGCAACGCCTTCGACGGCTCATCGAAAACTCAATGGGCCCGGCCGGCGGGGCTCAGGGGTTGAGCACCGACCTAGGAGCCAGGAGGTCACAGTTCCATTCCAGGCCGGGGCACATGCCCGGGTTTTGGGCTCGATCCCCAGTGGGGGGTGTGCAGGAGGCAGCCGATCAATGAGTCTCTCTCATCAGTGATGTTTCTCTCTTTCCCTCTCCCTCCCTCTCTGAAATCAATAAAAATATATATTTTTTAAAAATCAATGGGAAAAAACGTTGTCAGGAGAGGATTAACAAAAAACCAATGAAAAGCCGGCTCCTCTGAGAACTGGGGGTGGGGAGCGTGACCAGGAGCTGGAGGGATCCAGGGGGGAAGCAGGACTGTGATGCTGAGAAGCCCCACTGCGCTCAGGAAGCGGTGGGAGGTGCCGGGAGAGGCGGCCTCGCTTACCTGGTCGCCCTTCGGCCCGGCCTCGCCGTCCGCTCCGCGCTCTCCTGTACTTCCCTTCGGGGAACAGAGAACACAAGTCAGTGCGCATCTCGCTAGAGCCACACTGCGAAAGGCAGTCCGCATGGTACATCCACCGGCTCATCTCATCCCCCCGCCCTCACCAGGCGCAGAGAAAGTTCCTGCTGCAGACCCAGCGGTGTCAGCGACAGAAATGAAGTCTGGCTGGAGGACCGCGATGGGATAGCTGACGGGGCTGTGGGTGCTGGGGGGGCAGGGAAATGGTGGGGGAGACAGGCAGAGCCCCCTTCCCGAGAGCCTCGTGGCCGATCCTTGGATACGGACTGAGTTGGGGGCTTTGGCAACCACGAGGAGGAGGTGTGGCCGCCCGGGTTTCAGAAGGGCTCCTCTGGCTACAGTGTGTGTGTGTGTGTGTGTGTGTGTGTAGGGGGTGTGTGTGGCGGGGTGGGGGGGGGGGTGGGTGTGGGGTGGTGTGTGGGGGGGGGTGGGGGGAGGGGAGGGGAGCAGGACCAGTGGTGTCTGGGCACTGCCGGGCAGGTGTGGGGTGAGCAGTGGGCAGCTGAGCAGGTGACGGGCGGGTGGCACTGGGCAGGGGCTGGGTGGAGAGGAAACCGTCCGGTGCCTACACTCCTGGCCCCTCCCCGACTCCCTGCAGGACCCTGAGCGGTCACCTCGACCCTACGTTGGCCTTGTTATCAACCAAACAGACAATAACGACCGCCTACCCCTGACAGGGTAGGGACATAAAACCAGGGCAGACGTGGGAGATGCTTAGCACTGAGCCCTGGCACTGGAGGAGCTCAGTACACACTGGTGACCATAGTTATTCTGCATCATGTTGGGTGTGAATCACGCCTTGGCCATGTGCTCATGTGAGTCCCGGGGCAAGTCCTTCCACTCCCCGTGTCCTGTTCTAAAGGAGAATCGCAGCGTCCCCGTCACCACCCTGTGCGGCTCAGGGACCTCGAGGCCGAGGCACCCTCAGGCCAGAGGCTGGCATTGTTGGCTCCGGGTGAGCACTAACCATCGCCCTCTCGTCCCTGCTGTCGCACCATCGTCGTCAGCATCACTGGTCAGGAAAACACTGCGACACCCGACCTGCCCCCACGCCCTCACAGCCCAGCCCCGAGGCAGCGCTCACGCCTGGTCTCCGAGCGGCCCCTCCGCTGGCCCCTCCGCTGGCCCCGCGGTCACTGGAGAACAGATGTGCTTCGGGGAGATGTGGTTACAGAGAACGTCTCAGTGCCTGAGAGAAGGCCTTACGCAGCCAGAGTTCATCTTTGGCAGCGAGTCGACGTTGGCTCCGGTTCCAGGCCTGTCGTCTCGAGTCTCCGCATCCTTGAGCCGGGCCTGGCTCCCAGTTTGTTCATCAGTAAACGAAGGACGGGGAGGCCCACCCAGCCCCGTGGTCCCCAGCCTTTTGTTGGCCGTGCCCCCCTAAGCATCTCTAATATCCTGATACCCTCCCCCCTGTGACATAGAATTCTTATTATTCAAAAAGTGACTCCTAGTCACGTGGAGGAAGCCGAAAAGGCCAGGAACTTGGTCTAAACAAGCTTCCAAAGAACATGGCATCCGTGAAAGAGAAAAAGGAAAGAACAAAAGGACAGCTGAAGTACTGAGGAAAAAATCACTAAGAAATTGTTTAAAAAAATAATATGAAGTGACATGAAGAAATAGAAAGTTTCAGAACATATAATAGAGACCTGAGATGCATAAATATGTCACAATATGTTTATATGCTGTATATGAGGCCCCTAGACCAGTGATGGCGAACCTATGACACGCGTGTCAGGGAACAAAGGGACACCCGAGCTCAAAAGGTTCGCCATCACTGCCCTAGACCCATAAGAAATGCAAAAAATTCCGTTAATAACTCATTCTCGAATTGCCCCCCTTAAACATCACACTGCCCCCCTGTGGGGCATGCACCATGCCGGGAACCACTGGGCTAGAGGGCCCTTCCCATCCAGAACCCAGAGTTCTCCCGCTGGAACTTCATGTCCAGCCCTCTCCCCGGAAGGATGCGCCGTGTCCGCAGTTCCTGGCGATGCTGACTACTGAGCTCGGCGCCCCGCCTCCGGGGCCGTGGGGTGTGGGGGAGCGAATGCGACAGGAGCCCGTGCCGTGTGTCGAGCAGGAAACAGGTTGGGGGGGGGGCACTTGTTCCAACATCTCGGCGTGCGGTTATTTCTACTGCTTTCAGGCCCACAAAGCCAGCACCCGTCTGCAGGCCCCGCTGTTATCTCAGTGAATAGACGCGCCGTGGGCCGGCACACGGGCCTCTGACATGTAGGACAACTGCTTTCAAAGAAATGGCTCCTTTCAGACTCCAGCCCTCGGGCTGGGCTTGGCGTGGTCTCCATCCCCGTCTCCTAACAATGACAATGTCCCGGCTCCGGGATCTCCACGGCCGGCCTCGTCTCCTCTGCACGCAGGTGGGGCTCAAAGCCAGCAAAGCACCCCGACCTGACTCACTTCCTCCCAGGAGAGAGGCTGACATTCGCCGAGCCCCACCCCTCTTTGCTGGGCACTCTGCTGGGCTCCCCCAATGAGACCCCATTTCATGCACTTGATTGTTAATATCCTGAGCTGATACTATATATATATACTAGTACATATGTGTATTTAATACATCTGTTTGCTAATCTAGCCAATGAGATAACTCCACGAGGTGGGGCTACTGCCAGAGAACAGACAGGAAATCTGAAGCCACGCGAGACAGTTGCCGTCACTCAGCAGCGACGACTTCGGGCGCTCAGAGTTCCTCCCACGTGTCCCTCGCTTCCTCCGAGCCTGCACATCGCTGGCGCTCTGGGAACGGGAACACCGCCTGCCTCATCCTCCCTGTGAGCTCGGCCAGGGGACGCCCTGAGGCTCAGAGAGGTCAGTGAACTGCCCAGATCCTACCCCCAGTCAGCGAGTGTCCGTCAGCGCAGAGGAGGCGGAGCCGGGCTGGGAGCAGCTGGCCTCCCAGGCCGGGGCTGCGCCCACCGCTCTCGCTGCCCACCAGCCACCTGCCTTCCCTGTGAGTCACCAACTCATCCGTCTCTTCTCCCCACACAGCCTCAGGCCTGGAGGGATGGCCCATCTCTGACCCTCCTGCCAGCTCCTGACGTGGAGGGAACTGTTGAAAGGGACGCTTGGGCCAGACCAGCGTGGCTCAGGGGTTGAGCATCGGCCTACGAACCAGGAGGTCAGGGGTCGATTCCCGGTCAGGGCACAGGCCCGGGCTGTGGGCTCAACCCCCAGTGGGAGGCGAGCAGGAGGCAGCCGATCCATCATTCTCTCTCATCACTGATGTTTCTGTCTCTCCCTCTCCCTCTCTGAAATCAATAAAATATATTATAAATAAATAAATAAATATAATAAAGGGCCGCCTGGTGAGAATGCTCCAGGACGGAGGCAGCGACCGGTGGGGAGAGAGGAAGCAGGGCGGGAGGTGAGAACCGTCCCAGGTCAGAGGGGATTCCGCCCGGAAGGTCTGCCCAGCGCCTTCGCCTACTGGCACCTGATGTTGCCTCTCCCGGCAGACGAGCCACGCTGTGTCCCAGGCAGGCCCAGGGACCACTGCCGCGCGGCACTTTTATAAAATGTTGGAAGGGGTGGTGGCCACAGCCTGCAGCTGCAGGGGCTACAGGGGAGGGGGGTCAGGGAGGGCCATAAAATGTTGGAAGCGGTGGTGGCCACAGCCTGCAGCTGCAGGGGCCACAGGGGAGGGGGGTCAGGGAGGGCCCAGGAAGGCCCCAGGGTTGGGGGCCGGGGATGTGGGTGGGAGGTGCCTCCCCCTACCCCCGTGCCAGTGCTCACGCGGTCTCTTCTCAGAGCTAAATGCCGTCCCCGCGGGAGGGCAAAGGCCACAGGCAGACACTCCTGGCAGCCAGAGCACCCACTGCTCTGTGAGCCGCAGGGCGAGCCTCACTCCTGTGTCGCTAACACTCATTCACACTCATCCGCCTTCTCCAAGCACCTGCCTAGCCGTGATGTTCCTGAGTCATGTTCTCCCCGGGCCTACGTCCTCCCACGCTAACACACCGCGGAGGCTGCTCTTATTATCATTAGCGAGAGGGAAGGTGAGGCCCAGAGAGGTCAAGGATTCTGCCTAAAGCCACACAGCTCCAAAGGCCGTGCCTGAACCAGTGAGACTACACATCCCAGTCCCGCAGCTCATCGCATACTGTAAACCCCTCGCGTGTTTGTACGCAAACAACCTGAGACTGGACGAAGGGGAGTGACCCTGCCAGGCCCAAGGTCACCGGGAGCGTCAGTGCCGGGGTGAGGCCTTGAACGTGGGGTTTCTGCTGGTAAACCGTCCTTCCTTCACGCAGACATCGCGCCTCCTCCCGCAGACTAAGCAGTGAGACGGCGGGGATGGAGGCTCACTGACCTGCGCGCCAGCAGCTCCCGGGGGTCCTGGAAGGCCTCTGGGCCCAGCCTCTCCCTGCAGCAGGGAACAAAGGGAACAGGAATGAGTGTCCTGCCTGGCCCTGGTGGCTCAGTGGTAGAGCCCGACCTATGAACCAGGAGGTCACGCTCAACTCTCCGTGGTCAGGGCACATGCCCAGGTTGCGGCCTCGGTCCCCAGTAGGGGGCGTGCAGGAGGCAGCTGATCAGTGATTCTCTCTCATCATGGAAGTTTCTATCTCTCCCTCCCTCTCTGAAATCAATAAAAAAATATTTTAAAAATATTCCATCTCTTAAAAGAAAAGAACGAGTGTGGGAGCCCGCACCCAGTCAGCAGCGACCCCTCACCCTGCGACTCCTATTCGAGGGCCTCCCCCTGGGGTTTCCCCACCCCAGCGGCCGGAGCAGAGGGCGTGGCTGTGGACTCACAGGTGGACCCACACTAATGTGGTCAGCGGTGCGGCAGCCAGGCCCTCCTACGGCCCAACGACCCCGCCTCCCAGGTCATGCCCTGGACTGGGCAGGCCCATGGGAACCGGGGAGGCAGCCTGCGACCTCCACGAGGACACAGGACACTACAGTGGAAGCACCGTCCCCTCCCTCCTCACCTCTTTCCCGTCTGTGCCGTCTCGCCCTGGCTTTCCCGGGAGCCCTTTGTCCCCCTTAAAGCCCGGCAGGCCAGGCAGGCCCGGGGGGCCCGGGGGGCAGTCCTTGCACACGTCCTGGGAGAGAACACATAACAGTTACTTGTAGAGCAAAGGAGCCCGGCCCCGCCTCTCCGACAGGCTGCACATCTGGGAAGGCAGCGGGTGAGTCACCCTCAATGACGCTGCTCTGTCTCCATCTGAACCAGAGGTCAGCACGGATCTGTCGAAACCTTCGCCTCGCTCCTCCCCACTCTGGCCAGCAGGCTGCTGGGAGCAGAGCCCAGGGCACTGATGTCCAAAGTGCACAAACAGCCCTGGCCAGTGTGGCTCAGTGGATAGAGCGTCGGCGCTGAGACTGAAGGGTTCCGGATTCGATTCCGGTCAAGGGCACACACCCTGGTCGCAGGCTCGATCCCCAGCCCCGGTCGGGGTGTGTGCGGGAGGCAACCAATGTGTTTCTGTCACATTAATATTTCTCTGTCTCTTTGTGTCCCCCCCTCTCCCCCACTCTCTCTAAATATCGATGGAAAAATATCCTCGGGTGAGGATTTAAAAAAAAAAAAGTGCACCAGCCGGCGGCGGCGGCACCAGAGCGCAGCGTCAGTGCAGATGCTGGGCCTGGGGAACAGCCGCTGTCCCCTGGGCCACAGAGAAGCAGGGCAGGAAGCTGAGCCTCCACCCGGATGGCGGGAGGGGTTTCCAAGGGAAGGAGCAGGAAGGGGGCCACACCCTCAGGGCCTCTGCGGTGGCCACAGCCCGACCTGGCATGCCCGGCGGGACTCCTTGCTCCAGGTCGGAGTTTCATCAAGGTGCCCTGGGCCTGAGCTCCGCTCCGTGTCTCAGGGGCAGCGAGTGCTGCCGTGGTGGGAATCTGAGCTCCTCTCGGCCCAGGGAACCCGTGCCTAACCCATCTGTGGCTTCCCGAGCTCTTCAAGTTCGGCTGCACCCGCCATAAAGCCCACCCACAGGGGCTCTGGCACGGACTTCCCATCCAGGCGCGTGTCCAACATCCGAATGAGATCACGCTATGCATCCTCCGGCAGAGGGAAATGCTCGGTGGGGAGCCGTCTTCTCGGCAGGGACGGTCCTGCCCCCGGCCACCGGGCCGGCCCACAGGCTCCCTCCACAGCCCGAGGTGCAGCAGTGACGTGAGGCAGGAGCTACAGCGTCCACCCTGCAGACCTGGGCGGAGCTGTGGCCCAGCACCAGTGGGAACCCACGCCCAACCTGTCTGACTCCTTCCAGAACAGGAGGCAGTCCTGGTAGGGTTAAAGGGCAGCCTCTGGGGTCAGTGGGGTTAAGGGTCAGCCTCCGGGCTCACTGAGAATGGAATCAGATGCACATCAGGCACTCCTGAGCCCTGCCCGGAACTCCTGGGATGACGGGAACGCCCTGTGTCCGCATCGGCCAATAGGACAGCCAGCAGCCACTGTGGCTATTACGAACCTGGAATGTGGCTCCTGCCACCCAGGGCCTGAGTTCATCCTGGTATTTCATGTTCATTAACCTGAATTTAAACGGACCCGTGGCCTGTGGCTGCCTGTTGGACGGTGGGTTTAGCACATGGCCAGGCACAGTGAGCTCATAACAAACGCTGCTGTCATTAACGCTCTAACCCAGTTGTTCGGACAGAAAACACCCACATTGTCACATTACCGAGAGCCCGGTCCCCCATCCGCATTTGCAAAACGCAAGCAGGTGGCTTTACGCTTTTACCTTAACCAGGAGCTGGACGTCCTCGGGAGAGAGTGGCGAGGAGGGGCCCTGCCGAGGTAGAAATGAATGAATACAGGCAGGTGTGCGTACACGCATGCACACACACATACACACACGCACACATACACACAGAGACACACACGCACGTGCATGGCCTTACAATGTAACCCCTCACACACCTGGCCGTGCACTGACGCACACCAGCCTGGGAGCCACGAGGACTCTCCTGAGGCAGGGACTGTGGGCGGCCAGTCCTTGCCCCGTCTGACAGGCATCGTCCGTTCTGGTCCCCAGTCCCCTCCTGCTGCTTCTGCTCTGCTCCTGTGGCCCCTCCTCCCCACTCCCATGAACCCCTGTAGGCCGTGTGGGTAGGGGGAGGGCGAAGGGGTGGGCTGCATGCATTCCCAGAGGAGCAGAAGCTGCTGCTATGGGTCATCCACAACCTGGTGTGGCCCCTCCTCCCCACTCCCATGAACCCCTGTAGGCTGTGTGGGTACGGGGAGGGCGAAGGGGTGGGCTGCATGCATTTCCCAGAGGAGAAGCTGCTGCTATCGGTCATCCACAACCTGGCGTGGACGTAAAGCCATTTCCTCGGCTCTCCCAGGCCAGGCAGCAGTGAAGCCTCATCTGTTACAAGTTGGAAATCTCTGACCCCGAACGGGGGTTCAGAAGCCGGGAGCAGGAACAAAGCCCTGAGGAAGGTGGGGGTGGCCGGGCCCTGAGTTCACCTGCAAACCCCGTGTGGGAGGAGGTGCTGTGTTATGGTCATGGCCGACCCGGAGCCCAAGATGGGTGCAGGCTGGGCTCCCTTTAGGAGCAAGAAACACAGGGCTCGATCCTGGGTTTCGGCACCACAAAAAGGGGGGAAAAGAAAGAAAAGAAGGAAAATGAAAATGCAGATGCCAGAGGGAGAAGGGCCTCCAGGGAGAACTGGAGAGAGGCGAGGGCTCGATCCTGGGTTTCGGCACCACAAAAAGGGGGAAAAGAAAAGAAAAAGAAGGAAAATGAAAATGCAGACGCCAGAGGGAGAAGAGCCTCCGGGGAGAACTGGAGAGAGGCATGCCCTTGGCCAACCGGTAAGTTTGCAACAAGAGAATGGGGGCGAGCGGCCCTCTGAGAGGACGGTGACCCATCCCCTGGGGAAGGAGGGCCCTGCAGCCACACTGACTGTGGTGGCCCATCTTCCCATCACACTTGAGTCTGGGTTTATGATCGCAGGCCCAGCCCAGCACCCTGGGAGGCTGAAGCCGAGACAATCCCCCTGGCGGCTCCTGTGTCCGGCCCCCAGGGGTTCCTGCCGCTTCCCCGGGCTCACAGGCCGGCGAGGCTGGCACCATAGGCGTCTGCACAGGAAGCATAACCTTGGCAACGTCTGGGAACACGTTCAAGTCTCGGTCAACCCAAGCGACAGTGGGGTTGGACCAACTCGGGTTTGGGGTGCTGAAGAAACGCTCTGCCCTGCAGGGACAGCTCCCCGAGGTCGAGGCTGCTGACCACAAAGCCGAGACCTGCCCTGTGACTGGCAGGGACCCCGTGGAGGAGGCCGGCCTTGGCCATATTCACTTCCTGAGACTTTAACTTAAAAGGGGGGCGGGGGTGCTATGCGGAAGCCTCCTAGTCGCCTGGGGAGCTAAGAAGATACAGGGCTCACATCACGGGGTCGGGACCTATCTGTGCCGCCGTGCTGTGCTCCTGGCAGGCTGGCATGCGGTCCTTCGTTTGATTAGAGAGCAGCGTGAGACGCACGCTCGAAACAGTTACAAAGGGAGAGGAGAGTGAATGTGCCCTCCAGGTACAGAGTGGCCTCGCGGTCATTTAGTGACTTTGCTCTGACCCGTTTCTGCAAACCTCACAAGGCAGCTTTCAAGATGCAAAGGCGCCAGGTGAGGGGCGGTGACCTTCCAAAGGCCATGCAGGAGGGTAAGCCTGCCCCGCCCACCTCGGAGGGCCGTTCACGTGGTGGGACAGGGAGCACCCGGGGCGGCCCTGAGCCTGTGCCCTACTCGACCCTCCTCACCTCCGCTGTGCCCATCCGCCTGCTGCCGGGACCACGGGCTGAAGTGGCAGGAGTCCCAGGCCAGTGCTGACCAGGTGGAGTAGAACGGCCCCTCCACTCAGGTGGGACAGCTCCACGGCACTGTGCCCACCCACACCTGCTTGGGCACCGGGCCGGCGCCGGATGCCAGGGGAGCCCACCTGAGTGCCCTTCCTCACCCGTCACCTGCCCAAGTGGCTCTGCTTCGAGAGGACCCAGCCCATAGCGGGTGCCTCAGCACAGGGACTGTGGGTGCAGCACTGGGGAGGCGCCCAGGTCCCACCCTGCCCACCAGGGGTGGTGACAGTGCAGGGGAGACAAACTCCACAGGCCTGGCTCCTCCAAACCCTGCATGTGCCAAAGGGAGGCTGGGCCCTGCCAGCTCCCGAGAGCCTGGCAAGCCCACCGGCTGTGTCCTTGTTCACCTGCTCACGGGCCACACGGAGGGGCCACGCTCACCGTGTGACTCAGGTGGGGGCCCGGGCCTGCGGAGGGGCCACGCTCACCGTGTGACTCAGGGGGGGCCCGGGCCTGCGGAGGGCTGGACGCTGAGGAACAGCTCAGCCTCACCTGCACCCCAGCCTCCGTCACCCCCAAGAAGGGTAGCGGGCACCCTGCAGTGGCCACACGTCCTGCCGCCCGAGCACTCACTGCCGCCCCACCTGCCGTGGGTCCTGGCGGCAGGGCTCTCTGCCCCGTGCCCAGGGAAGGACTCCAGGAGCTCACACCTGGCCTCCTGCACCCGCCCTGCCCACCACCCCTCCGGCCTTGGCTGTGGATCCAGGACAACAGCTCCCACCACTGCCACTCTCGCTCTCGTGGGCCCGAAACAGGCTAACGGTGGCATCGGCCGCACTGTGGTTTGTCTGGGCATCTCACTCCTCACGTAGCCCCCCTGCCCACAGCTTTAGGAAAAGGCCCCCGCAAAGGTCCCTGAGCCGTCTGAGCGGCCCATTATTCCCGCCGGAGCCCTGACGGGTCGTCAGGATCCACCCAGAACAGGGAGATGACGTACCGGTTTGCCCGGAGGCCCCCTCTCGCCGGGATTGCCTGGTGCGCCCTAGAAGGAGAGAGAAGACACGTGACCCGCACTGAGCACGCAGCCTCTCCGCGCGGCCCACACCGCCCGACCTCTGCCTGCCGAGTGGAACTCCATGGGAAACAGGACCACCCAACTGTGCCGCCAGACGCCGGCCGAAGTTCCTGTTCCCAGGAAATGGTCGGGTGCGGGAGGTGCTGAGGACAGAGCGCTACCCCTCCTCCAACTCCCGCCCAAGACACAGACTGCAAACAACTGGCGCACAGAGTGTGTGCACACGTGTGCACAGGCACACACACACACACGCCTATCTTAAGTGTCTGCCTCCTTTCCCACGCTCAGGTGGGAGTCACACACAGACACACACACACAGACACACACACAGACATACACACACACACACACCTATCTTAAGCGTCTGCCTCCTTTCCCACGCTCAGGTGGGAGCCCACTTGGCAGAGGAGGAGGCCCGTCTGCTCTCCTGGCTGTGAGATGCCAGGCCAGGTGCCCGGGTAACGTGAATGTGTCGGGACCAGAAGGTCATTCCTTCTCTGAGGTGGAACCGGGGCAGGAAGGGGTGGGATTTTCTGGTCCTGCTGAGAGTGGACTGAACCAAGATGGGAAGATGTGTGGCTAAGCGAGCACTGTGACCGACTGCCAGGGGGTGGACAGCTCTGTCCGGAGGAACCCGGGGTCATCACCCATCCACTCGGTCAACGAGCGAGAGTCCAGTGACCGCTATGAACCGGCACACCTCCAGGCCTGGGGACCTGCAGGGGCCTGACACACGCTCCGTCTCCTCGGAGCCTAGGTCTGTCCGAGCAAAAGCCCACTGTGCAGGTTAACAGTGGGAGGGCTGCACCCCGAGTGCCGGACAGATATGGAGGACACCCTGAAGGGAGAAAGACAGTGGAGAAGTGGGACCTAATTTGAACAGGATGGACCGCCTGGACATGAGAGAGAATTGACCAGAAAGGAGGAGGCGAGGCAGGGGACGCCCAGGAGCTCACGGGTCCTGAAGGTGTAACACAAAAGCAAAAGCACACACACACACACACACACACACACAGACACACACACAGACATACACACACACACACACCTATCTTAAGCGTCTGCCTCCTTTCCCACGCTCAGGTGGGAGCCCACTTGGCAGAGGAGGAGGCCCGTCTGCTCTCCTGGCTGTGAGATGCCAGGCCAGGTGCCCGGGTAACGTGAATGTATCGGGACCAGGAGGTCACTCCTTCTCTGAGGTGGAACCCGGGGTGGGAAGGGGTGGGATTTCCTGGTCCTGCTGAGAGTGGACTGAACCGAGAGGTGGGAAGATGTGCGGCTAAGTGAGCACTGTGACCGCCACGGTGTGGACAGCTCTGCCCGGAGGAACCCGCGGTCATCATGCATATGAACCGGCACACCTCCAGGCCTGGGGACCTGCAGGGGCCTGACACACGCTCCGTCTCCTCGGAGCCTAGGTCTGTCCGAGCAAAAGCCCAGCTGTGCAGGTAACAGTGGGAGGGCTGCACCCCGAGTGCCGGACAGATATGGAGGACACCCTGAAGGGAGAAAGACAGTGGAGAAGTGGGACCTAATTTGAACAGGATGGACCGCCTGGACATGAGAGAGAATTGACCAGAAAGGAGGAGGCGAGGCAGGGGACGCCCAGGAGCTCACGGGTCCTGAAGGTGTAACACAAAAGCAAAAGGAGTAACTGGGCCCACAGAGGATGGGCCACGATCACCAGCAGGCGACACTCCTCAGAGCCCCTGGAGGTGTGGAGGGCAGGTGCCCTGGGATCTAGGCTAACCTGGACCCAGCCCCGACCAGTGCTCTACTCACATCCTGGCCAGCGGGGCCCTGGGGGCCGGGGAATCCGGGCGAGCCTCGAGGTCCCTGGGGAGAAAGAGGAGAGGCCCCTGTGGCTTTCCGTGCGTCTCGTCTACGGGGTCTCCACGGTGGGCTGAGGGGCGGAGCGCGCCCGACAGGCTAAGAGAGATCCCTCGTTTGCGCGTGGCCGTGTGGTTGGGGCTGATGAAGCCAGGATTCAAAGCCAGTGCTCCTGGGGCTTTGACGAATCCGGGACCCCACGGCCGTCCCTCTGCGATGCAGAGATGCCGCAAAGCGCAGCCAGGCTCAGTCCGCCCGACGGCAAGGTGGGCGCGAGGACAGACAGGTGACCCCGCCTTTCCCGCCCTCCACCCGCAGGTGCACGCTCACGTGCGGGGGGTCTGCACTCGAACGGCAGGGGTTTGCTTTACGTTAGGTCCCGGCCCCTCCGATGTAAACCCGCTTCATTACAGAGGACGGCTCCCAGGGAACCCGCCCTTCATCCAAGCCATACTGTACCGGGGGGCCTTTGTCTCCAGGGGGTCCGGAAGGGCCCTGGAAGCAAACAACGCAAGTCAGCAGAGCAGGCAGGAGAGGTTCCCTCAACGTGCTGAGGGTTGTTTCTAAGCCAGGGCTTCGTGGGCCTCGAAGGAGCAGGTAACTGCCTCCCTCAGCCCCATGGTCACCCCCTCACCCCCGCCCACTAGCATCGCACGGGGAACCTTCCTGAACCGGCACCCTCCTGTCCTGTCTCCCACGAGGCTCCTGACACCGAACCCCTCCCCGGTCTGTAGCTCTCGTTCGGGGCAGGAACCAGCACCCGGCATCCTTGTGCTGCACCCCCTTCCTGCTGGGGTCGGGCTGGGGAACACAGGGCTGAGGCTGTGGGGGTGCCCCTCCCCTACTAGGGGGTGCACACACAGACCCGTGCATGTGCGCACACACATGCACACACATGCACATGGGTCTGCATTCCTGCCATCTGTCCAGCCCAGGATGCTGGATGGATGGGAACTCACAGGAGGGCCGGCAACCCCGATGCCCGGGTCGCCGCGGGTGCCTGGAGAGCCGGGGATCCCAGGGGCACCTCGGTCCCCCTAGAAAGAGAAAAACAAGATGAAGAGGTCAGTTCCGGAAAGGAGGGGCCCAGGGTTCCCCAGGAAGTATGCTCTCCTCACTGCCCCAGTGGGACCCCAGCTGGACCCAGCACCTGGGCCCCGCACGCCCACAGCTCCTGCACAGCCCCTCGTCCTGCCCAGGCTACGGACACGGACCACGGCCACCAGGGTCCTCAGGCCCCTCAAGGCTGACCACGCCCAGTCTGCATGGCTCCAAATGCGACTGTAACACATAACCCTCCACATGACCACAGACCCAACGTCACCTGTGATCCTGTCAGACCCCATCGTGGTCCCATCCTGACCACACCCCAGATGTGACCCTGCACCCACATTTCAGCTCAGGTCCCCGATCACCAATCAACTCATTCACCGATTCACCAATAACTTCCAGGAACCTGTCTTTCGGGGTCACTTTCCAGGCGTGGGACCTCCACATGACCACAGACCCAACGTCACCTGTGATCCCGTCAGACCCCATTGTGGCCCCATCCTGACCACACCCCAGATGTGACCCTCACCCACATTTCAGCTCAGGTCCCCGATCACCAATCAGCTCATTCACCGATTCACCAGTAACTTTCAGGAACCTGTCTTTCGGGGTCACTTTCCAGGGGTAGGTGGGGCAAGGGTGAGCGAGCTAGGACCTCGGCCTCAAGCACAGAGGTTAATGGAGGGGGGTTTGCGTCCTGGCTTCAACCCTGACCAACTGCCGACGTAAGAGCCACCAAGCTCTGTGAGCTCATCACTGTCATCAGGAGGGTGGGTAACGAGGAGCTGCCCTGGTCACAGACACACTCAATGCGACTGGCACAGGCCCTGCCCAGCACGGTGCCTGGCCAGCACGCCACCCCATGCCAGCCAGCGGCTGGGAGTGTGGCACTCTCATGCCCGGTCACTCCGGACTTTGATGGGAAGAGAGAAAAGGAGGAAGAAAGAGAAAAAAGGGAAGGACTGCGTTTGCCGCTTCCTGCAGGAGGAAGCTGAGACAGTCAGGCCTTCTCGTGCACAATTTCACAGGCCGCCACCGCTGAAGGCAGGGGCTCATCTCGGCTCGATGGGCGGGGTCCAGCTGTCCTGACACGGCGAGTACAGCCCTTAGTTGTCCATTTCTTATGACGGAGACACACTTCTGGAGCATCGACAGTAACAAGGTCGACCAGGCGTGTGCCTCACACTCCGCAGTGAGTGTTGTATCTACACACAGAGTTTGCAAATCACTACCTGTTCAGATTCCCAAAAGAAACTGAACTCGGCCAGCGTGGCTCAGTGGCTGAGCATCGACCTATGAACCAGGAGGTCACGTTTCGATTCCCCGTCAGGGCAAATGCCCTCTCTCTTCTTCTCTGAAATCAATAAAAATACATTTGGGGAGAGGGGGAGGAACTGAATCCAGAACACACGTGGCCCCAACAATTCTGAGTGACCTCAGCCAAACCCAGCGGGAAGGGGCAGGTGGCCTGTCCCAGCACCTCCTGTCCCTGGGATGACATTAGTCTCCGGGACAAACGGCAGAGCCGTGGGCAGTGCTAGGGGAGCCAGTGAGAGAACGAGCAGCGACCCGGTGGCAGGTGGGCCCTGACATTGCCCGGCAGCACGTCGCTTTATTCAGATTCATGCTTTTAAACATTTTTAAAAGTCCCATTAATATCAGTTTACACTCTGGCCCATCGTGGCCATGTCTCCTGAGAGCCACAGCGTCCCTCTGCCCCTCCCCACCCGCCCCGGCCAGGTTCCTCCTGAAATTCTCTTCAAGGTCCCAGGTGGGACCTGCTGTTTTTTTGGGTTTTTTTTAGAGCTGTTCCATTTCCCTTTGGTAATACTTTTTAAAATATATATATTTTTATTGATTTCAGAGAAGGGAGAGAAAGAGAGAAACATCAATGATGAGAGAGAATCACTGATCGGCTGCCTCTTGCACGCCCCACACTGGGGATGGAGCCTGCAACCCGGGCATGTGCCCTGATGGAGAATCAAACCACAAC